CATATGCATCTTCCACCTAGCGGCTACAAGTATTTGATGCCCTTTGATTGATGCCCTGCGATTACTATCGGAGTCGCGGTCTTTCAAGCTCAGATGAACTTTCAGGGATATGAAGAGGTAAGGGTAGGGATAGGGGTGGGCGGAGAGGGGAGGAGAATCGAAGAGAAAAGGAACAGGGGAAGGAGTACCGCGCAAGGCGTAAATTACATGTGCGGGAAGCAGCTGAACTGTCTTTTTAATGACTCTTGTTTTCCCATCAAATTGAATAAATGTTGGGAAAAAGAGAGTTTTAAGTTCATGTGGGTGACCGAATTTTTCCGTCGAACGATGTCAACAAACCAAATAGTGAACCCTAAGATCGATCATTCCCTCAAAAAACTTTCTTCAGCCAACTTTAATTTATGGATATTTTAGATCACTGAAGCACTAACTCGATGATTCTGATATGCGGTGACGGCGATAAATACAGTCTCCTCAAACGATACGGTAATACGGTCTTCATTATTTTTGCCATCCTGTTCTTCTTGTTCATCAGAATGCCGAACCAGATGGATTCGAGGCAGATAGCGATGCATCGAATTGACGATTATCTGATAGCGTGGAATTACAACATCACTAACGGAGAATTCATTTTGACTGGATAAATAATTATGTGTATTTTTAACTCACGTGACCATTTTGATCCAATTGATTATTGGTAAGCTTTATTTTGTCAAATGAAATACTTCCTTTCATCCAATGAGCACCTTTGGCGGGACTGTCTGGGTGAACAAATGTCCTGCACGGTAGCTCTGCTTCACCTAAAGCGTCCTCGGTAGGAGACTTAGATAAAAGTCCATATACTTCTTAATCCACACTTTGTTGATTGAAAAGAATCAGATAACTTATCCAATAAATACCAACTAAAAACTAACCGATTCAAACCTTACAAACGCAAATATTTTTTGTGGTAGGTTCTGATGAAGGATGAAAGTAAGATTAGACACGATCCCTCACATCAGCGAAGTGATAAGATGAATGTGATCATTCCGTCAATGTATACAATACCCGCATAATGCAGAATTTCATTTATTGATTAAAATTTCCCAATTTGTGAAAGCTATTAAGGTATACAACCGCATGCTGACAGAGCTCATGATAGAACAAAGGCCCAATTCGTTCCCGATTAGAGGGATCTCTACCCTACCTGTCCGACTAGGCGTGGGTGAGCACTGATTTGTCCTGATCCGAAGAAGGGGCTGAACTTCCAAGTTCTGGATGAGGTTCCCTTATCAGTACACCTCCAACATTACCTACCTCAATACATCTCTCACCTGGACCAGTTGCTGTCCATTTGCTTTGATGAAATGAATACCGATAGCGCTTACTGTCGACACACTCCATATCCACCATCAATGAATAACTGGCATCGCTATCGAGGCCAGAGATTGAAATACTTAATACAGGGAACATTCTCCTGAAATACATCCTGGAAAGAGTTGAGCGGCTTTTTTACTGCGTTGTGATCTGATTCAAGATTACTGGAATCATTCATATGAAATCGAAACCACTGTTAAGTCCTCTCCTTTTTTACTCCTTCTTAACCGCTTCACTTAGGTACTTCTTTTTCTGAAGGGTTTTTATGTAGACATTAAGAATTAATTGATAGGAAGTAGAGGAAGTAAAATACGGTACTCATGTTATTGCGAAAGAACCCAACTCAAAAGAGAATAATAACAGGTCTTGGGCCTTCAAAGCCGCGGTGACCATTTATTTGTATTTTGCGAATATGACTGGAATGGTCCTGAGAAGAAAAGCTGAGATAAACACGGATACACAACAACCTGGATCGATATAGCTCGGTGAGGAGAAATGGATGCCCACATAACTTACCAGAATTACTTTCTTCATTTCCCACTTGAAAAATTCAGGGCTTTCCACACATTCCCATTCCCATGCCATTCATATTCCCAAATCAAACTTCCATAGAAACGTTGACGTGGAGGTAGAGGGTAAATGGTCGAAAATCGGTCGAATTACGAATGTTCATTGATGATGTCTTGACTCAAGAACTGGATTTCCTCTCCACTACCTTACCTAACGTGAATACGAACCCATATTCCCGCTTCTCACAACTTAGTTAACTCTATCCCGGCCTCATCGGAATCTTCCCGCCCGTTACTCTGTAACTTGGTAGGCATTAGGTTCCAGTTGCCTAGAGTACAGAGCCAATCCTGTTAAATATTCCTGTTGAATGAAAAAAGCAGTGATTATCCATCGAAAGTCAAAAGTGATAAGCAGGTACTATTCCAAAAAAGGGTGAACGACATGCAAAACTTCAGAAGTGCCAGAAAAGGCTCATTATTGTTACAAAGTAATGATCCACCTTGAAAATAGCCACTCCGCCCCTACAGTCAATTAGAAAGTGAAATCAGTAGTTTGTGAATAGTAGCATACTAAAAAAAAGAAAAATGAAAAGTTAGTAGTAGTCCTGACCTTCCACTTTTCGTGACGATCATTTCTGTGCCGAGGGCATGAAAACGTCTCCATAAAGAAACACCTTCAAGCCTGAAACGAATACCATCTCGTTTCACGACATCTTCATCTCTGTGTGATCCCGCTGATGAACTGTTGGTGAAATCCGAAAGGAGGTAATCAATGGAGAAGTTCTTCGGCATCTGGAATAACAAGTGTTTTGTTACAGGGAGAGAAAAAGAAAGCATCAAGGAAGTTTCTCGTCTAAAGGCCGGAACTCTTAAAGGCGGATATCTTGCCTCGCTTCGGCACGGCAGAAGTACGAACATGAAAAAACTCATAAAAATTCATTTTTAGCTTCTGAAAGTCACTTCTACTACTGGTAATCTCTTCAGGGCTTCGGATAGCTCAATGCAACCTCTGGAATCAATCAATGCTTCCTCGGGAATGCGATGGAGATCTATCCGACCGGGGATCTGCCACGGTGTACTGTCTCCGTTCGTCCTTCAAGGAATCGCTACTGAAAACGACACCATATTTGACAAAAAGGAACTCACCCACAAGGTATACGGTAGTTTATGAGCGACCTTCTGGTGGCAAGTGTCTGTCGTTTCTCCTCGACGAACGTTCACAGCCGTTACCAACACGTGTGTGTGCAATGACTCGACAGCACATCTGGAATACGGTACGAAGGGCCAATCATTCACGATCGTCGAGACTTCACGACAACACGCTCACATGTCGCTAACGGATATCGCCAACTGCTCGCCGATGGCTGTCATGAGATCTCATTCACGAATCTGGGGGCATCTTCACTAACGAAAGTACAACCACCCACGTCTGCCATGGGAGGAAAAGTGCTGTAGGGTACGTTATCTATTGTTCGCTATCTTTCTCATTTCCTTAGTGGATCTCATACAGACTGGGTCTTCCTAGCACTTTGTAGGCAGGCTGTGTAAGCTCCCGAATGTGATGGTTCTGATGACTCCGAACTCCGGAGGGCAAATATGATTTTGCGTCCAATAACAGAAGATCAACACCTTTATGGGCATATGCTGTGAGGTAAGCGAGTATAATTGAATCAAAATAATTAAAGCAGTAGGTACAATTTATAGTTTACTAGAATTAGCTTGGAAGAGTATCAGACTACATCTCGGCAAAATTCAGGCTGGATACAAATTGCCCAGCACGTGATGAACTGTCGTGACTCATGAGTCACGAAGCCTGCAACTCCCTTCTGGTGACCTGCGACTCTTTTCACCTTCAACCCGAGCTTTTTATCGGTTGGAAACAGTTTTGATCATTACCATTTCTTACAAAAAACCAAGTGACCGTATTTGAAGTGGGTTTTCTATCAGATGCTATCATTTCCCATGGCCACAGCTCAGTCCAAACGGTTTGCGGCCAGTAAGGGTGAAAGCCTTTGTCTGTAGAGAGCGTACGAGAAATCCGATTCAACAGCTTTAACTTATAAGTCATCCATCAAGCTGTCTGTCAATTTTTTTTTTGGTTTTTGATTTTTTAGCTTATGGTCCCTCCTTGAGATTTGGGTTTAGACTACTTCAAATTATATTTTTTATACTCTGCAATTCTAATTAATTCCTTTCAAGAAAAGTTGAGGCACCCCATTCTCCTTTTTTATACTTCCGTGATGAATCCTTTGCCTTAGGCTGCGAAGTGCTTCTGGACAGCTTTCCTTGCTTACTTGGTGTTTGTGCCTCACATAGGTCCGCTTTTTCTCCACCTCAGAGGTCTGATTCGGAGTGATGACGGCAATGACCTTGCCCGACAAACAAGTAAACTTTTTCAACAGAAACAAGTGCTTGTTGGAATCTCCGCTCTCCCGTAGAGCTCATGATATTTCTATTTTGACGTATTTTTATCATTTTCACATCTGTCAAAGCAAATCCAGCATCCCAGAAATTACTGTATTGGAAGCAGGGCTTAATATGGGACTAATGGTCTGTCACAAGATTACTTTGTGGTTACAAATGACCTCAAAGTGAATGTGAGGCTAGGTAAAGGTCGAGGGGCCTTACTAGGCTAACAAACTCAACCCATATCTATGACAAGAACCACCCAGCCCATTGCTGTCTGATTTCAGAGAACCTCCTAACAATGTAAAAATCAGATCACATGCTTCCATTTGCGATGTTGTAGTCTTCGAGATTCTAGTAAATTTAATTTAGCTCAATTTACTTGTAACCTACTAATGAACCTTCAATCATAAGTAATTTCCTGTAATTTAGAATTTCTGAAGTGTAATTAGATTTAAAACGGATGGAAAAAAGCTCTCGAGTAATGCGAAGTGAGTTATTACTAAGGCAGAATAATTACGGAAATGTATATGACCATTGTACTCTTCTTGATTTCATAGAAATGCTAAGATAAATTTGAAAAATGCTAGCTAAATCGAAAAACTTGACACATTCTCTTCCTCATTAAGAGGAGCGGCAGAAATAAAGCCAGTCTGAAAAGACTCGTTCTGGAACATCCTATTCGTGCACGATATTGCATATATACTTAATACATTTGCTATTATTTGATGGTATTTGTAATTATCATTCATGATAAAGCAACAGATAATATTTAAAAACATGGCATTAATATGAAATGTTATAATGTTAATGACAGTTATAGTGATATAACCGCTCAAGGTTGGCGAACCATGGGCAAAACTTCGGTTTAGTCGAGACTCGAAACCCTATGTTCTCGCCTTTTCCGTACTAAATTTTTCCACTCCAGAAAAGGCGAGTACGGGTTTGAGTCCAAGTCAAAAGCAATAATACGGTAATAATTATATGATAATTGCACAATGCTATTATAAAATAATTAAAAGGGTCAAAAATAAAAAGTCTCTGGCGCTGATCGGGTCCGCTTTGGGGATGCTTCTCACATTCAACTTCTAATTATCGTAGCGACGTTTGAAGGAGTGTATGGCCTATACATGACTAGCGATACCGATGGTTAGTGTTTTTATCCTCCCATACTAGTCTGCCACCCACTACTTGATCCCAAAAGAATGAATGACTCGGTTGGTTCAAGCGGATGCCGATACGGGATTTGATCCCAAGACAGTTGTGTCTGCAGTGTGCCACTTGCCACTACACCACATTCACCTTCCTGGAGCTATGTACTATAATAATATATATACAATAATAATCTGATATAATTACATAATTTTATAGGATTGGCAACTTATGGACAAAACTTCGACTTCGGACAGGGATAGAACCGGCATAGAAGTTTTGCCCACAACTCGCCAACCTCGTGAGGCTTTCCCATGGTGTACCGCGGCGAAATAACAGCAGTCAAAAGGACATCAGGTTGATATTCACGAATACTTTATATTAGATATCACAAGGTAATGGTAGCTTATGATAATCAGTGATATGTCATACATACAGTAATACAATATGTAAAATTGAATGTAATAAATTACCATGATTAAATAATAAATATAAAAAAGTTAAAATGCCAAAAATAAAGATATTGTGAGAAAATGATCAAAATCAATATTAACCAAAATCAAAACCCGATACCAAAACTCCCTTGTCCAACCCCTTAACAAGTGGTCCACCACCACCAGCCTCTCCTGTCCTTTCTCCTTCCCTTCCCTTTCTTCCCGCTGTCTCTCCCTCAACTATTTTTCGAAGAAANTTTATTTAGTGACGTCTTTCTTAAACTGCTTATTTTCTAAATTTGTTTATTGTTAGGTTTGACACTAAATACTACAGGGAATTCTTCATTGTATCTTTTGCAAACGATCTGTTTGCTTCCAACCAAGTAAAAGAACAGTATTTCTTTCAAATTTCGCTGAGATCTCTCACCCACACAGTAGTCATCAAAGCTGAACAGCGAAAAAGCCCCATCAAAGTAATGTGTTATTGCCACCGCCATTAATCAAAACCATGATTTCAGGCAATATTATTGACGATCGAATGCTGTACACTGGGTGAGACAAACGTTTTCATAGCGTTTAGCTGCTCGACGAGCCAAGATGTGCTCCAGATGCCTCGTCGATGTCGCGGACGATTGATGGACGGCGAAACATCGCACTGAAATTATGTCTAACGAAGAAAAACCGTCGACAAATTATTAATAACCACAAGATGTTCGACTTTCGCAAAGCGGCGAGCGGACGCCGCACGCGAAAGCACATGACTGAAGAAATTCAGTTACTTCCTGCCCATCACTGTGGGTAAATCCTGAAAAAAAANAAAAAAAAGCAATACGGTGACAAGCCTTGAGGTGAAGTAGAGGGTGCTGCAGTAGTGTACTGGATAAGCATAATGAAAGAATAAAATCTTTAGCGGGTTGACCAATCCCGCCTGAGGGATGCGCCCGCGCATTCGACTCCCATTCAAAATCGTTGAGTGTATTGAATGCGTATGTGGCTTTTACAATGAATTGCGGTGGACGGCCAATGTACGAGTCAGAGCTTTCATCCTTCCAAACGAGTCTGGTACCAATCAACCAACACCACGCGATAGAGAGCTTGGTTGGCCTAGGCGGGTGTCTATCCGGGATTCAAAATTGTGACCATGCGGTTGTGATAATGGGCCACTTGCCACTACACCACCTCCACTGAGCAATATGTTGGTAAAGAGACGGTTGGTTCAGGTCCTGTCTGGAAGTAGTAGATTCTACCTTATTTAGCTCTACCTGAGCACCGATGCGTCAGCATCCCATAAGAATAGGTCTATCACATGGTCAGGGTCGTCACTGATCCCGTTTCTAAAGTGCCCCTCCGCATCCGACTTCCATTTAGAATTGTGACGGCGTTTGAATGGGTTTATGGCCTATACAGTGTCTGGCGGTGGCTTTTTAATGTACGAATCAGTGCTTTCGCCCTGTCAAACCAGTCTATTACCAGCTTGTCTACATCTGTGGGATAGAAGACTTGATTAACCTGGGCGAGTAGTATTCCGGGATTCGCTCATTTTGCCATCAATCAGCTGATAAATTCCCTTCTCCGCCCTACTTTCTGTTTATCCGCTTGAGTAGACTTGATGAGGCGAAAAGTTGGACAGTTTTACTTCCTACTTATGTTCCTAGACATCATCCCGTATTCATAGGCGTTGCCCACCTGCCTTCATTAGGCGAAATTCCTCGGTTTATTACTCATTACATATTCTTCAAAGTAATCCAACCGTTGCATCACCTGATAATCAGCTCTCATTAGTGACGATGAAGGTTCTTCTCGTCGTAGTGAAGCCCATGTGCTCCCACGGTACTCCCATTGAATAGCCTACTCTGAATGGGTTAAATTAGGGCTGTAAATGTGAATACCTGAATATTTCACCTTCCTTCAATCAATTCTAACTCATTAGAATGTCTACGTGCAATTCAAGGGTGACTAAAAGTCGACGGCCGTCGGGTAAGCTGATAGGCTCATGAGCATTGAATGTGTCTTTGTTTCGTCGTCACGGCAACGAATTCACTATTTCATCTGAAGTAGTCGAATTGACATAGGCATCGTCAACGTATCCTGAAATACCTACACGGACTATCTGCAGGGTTCTTGTGCCAGAACCGCTTCCGCACTTCTTCGGTACTGTTGTCAATCTCTCCGAGCTCCTGTCTTCCTTGGCTTAGGAAGGACTTGCTGGGTGACTACAGTGACGGTAGAGCAGTGATAACCCTTGGAAAGCAGTAGCTCTTTCGTCAATCCTTTCTTGGTGCGCTGTCTGTCTTCAACTTTCTCCCGTTGATGTTTCTACCGTATCTTTTGCACGAAATCATAAACTTTCCGCAGTCAATTTGGCTACTTCACGTACGT